GAATCCAAAGAAAGCAAGAAAGCAAAGGAAGCCAAGGAAACCCAAAAGCCAAGAAGCCACACAGGGCCAGAGGGAATCGGACCCAACCAGGAAAACAAAACAAACACACAAAAAAAAGCACCCGCAAGAAATGGCACTCCCTTTTCAACTAATTAATTATATAGGGACCCTCCAGCCGAAAATGTTCTAACTGCAGCGCACCAAGGCAGTCCAACCCCAAAACAAGTATATGCTGTACAATATAATTTTGACTGTCCAACTCAAATCGGTCCCTCTGTTGATTGTGCGACGCCAACCCATTTAAAAAAATAAAAGAAACAGTAAAAAACAACCAAGCTGACCATACAAGACCCTATGCCCAAAAAACATCGGAAAACTTCGCAAAAACATGGGAAACATTAAGAACGTAGAAAAATAAACAAGCAAATTGAAAGCAGTCATAAAACATTAGAAAAATAAACAAGCATAGCCAAAATGGCCGGCCATACAAGACTTCAAACATGGGAAGCGCCTTGATCTCTACCCGTTTTCTGAAAACATCGGACACATCCGCAAGAACATTGGAAAAATGAAAAAATAATCGAAAACACGGCAAGGTGCCCATACAAGATTTCAAAAACTTGAAAATCCATTATCTATGCCCATTTGTTGAAAACATTGGAAACATGTATTTAAATGCATTTAAGAAAACATTGAGAAAAACATATTTCCAAAACATCGGAAAAGCCAACAAAAACAACCAAAATGGCCATACAAGACTTCAAAAATGGGAAAGCCTTGTTCCATGCCCATTTTCTTGAAACATTGGAGAAGCAAACGACCATAAAAAAAGTCCAATTTGGGAAAAAGCACAACATTAGGAAAATCCTGGCAAATACCCAAATAAATACGAACACGATGCTGGACGAAAAAAAATTGCAAACCCTTGAGCAATCAGCTGTAATTACCGGTGTTGAAGAAATGTGCTATCTTGCTAGCCGGTGTTGAGGGGACGTGTTGTCAAGCAAAATGCTGAGGGGATGTGGTGTCATGCAAACCGGTGTTGAGAGTATGCGATATCAAGCAAACCGGTGTTGAGGAGATGGTCAAGCAAACCAGTGTTGAGGTTGTTGAGGGGGGGTGTTATCACGCAAACCCGTGTTGCGGGGATGCGTTATCGAGCAAACTAATCTTAAGGAGATGCGTTATCACGCAAACCGGTGTTGAGGAGATGCGCTATCAAACAACCCTGTGCTGAGGAGATGCGTTATCACGCAAAGCCGCCTTGAGGGGGTGTGGTATCAAGCAAACCGGCGCTGAGGGGATGTGTTATCATGCAAACTGGTGTTGAGGGTATGCGATATCAAGCAAACCGGTGTTGAGGAGATGCGTCACATGTTAGCTGGTGTTGTGGGGATGCGTTGTCAAGCAAACCAGTGTTGAGGTGGTTGAGGGGGGGTGTTATCATGCAAACCCGTGTTGCGGGGATGTGGTATCCAGCAAACCAACGTTAAGGCTAAGGAGATGTGTCATCATGCTAACCGGTGCTGAGGGGAGGCTGCAAACCGGTGTTGAGGGGATGTGTCATGAAAACCAGTGTTGGAGTGATGTGCTACCATGCACACTGGTGTTGAAGGGATGCGCTATCTCGCTAATAGTGTTCAGGGATGTGTGATCAAGCAATCCGGTGTTAAGGGGATGTGTCATCAAACAAGCCAGCGTTGAGGAGATGGGTCATCAGGCAAACCGTGTTGAGGGTATGCGCTATCAAGCAAACCGGTGTTGAGGGGATGTGTGTCATCAAGCAAACTGGTGTTAAGGCGATGTGGTATCAAGCAAACCGGTGTTGACGGGATGCGGTATCAAGCAAAAAGGTGTTGAGAGCATGTGTTGTCACGCAAACTGTTGGTGAGAGGATGGGTCATCAAGCGAACCGGTGTTGAGGAGATGTGTTAACAAGCAAGCCGGTGTTGGGATGTGTTGTCACGCAAAGCCGCCTTGAGGGGGCGAGCCATGAAGAAACCGGTGTTGAGGGGACGCGTTATTAAGCAAACCGGTGTTGAAGAGATGCGTTATCACGCAAACTGTTGCTGAGTCTTCAAGCAACCGGGTGTGTGGAGGAAATGTGTTTTTACGCAACCGGGGTTGATGGGTTGTGTAATCATGATTGCGCTAGTTGCGCACTAGTACCTGTCTATCTCATTGCTCAGTAACCATTGTACAGTGGTTGCTGTAACTGTTTGTTTATTTCATACAGTTTCAATGGCCAACGTGTAGAATGTCAAGTATGTATTCGAATATGGTACAAACTGAACATCAACAACGACAGGACGCGGGACGTGGAAATGTATTGGGCAATCGGGTCCACACCCCCCTCCATTTTGCAAAAAAAAACATACAGAGCTAGCAAGGAGAGAGGAGGGAGGAGAAAAAGAAGGACAAGGAGGAGGAGGAGGACATAGGAGGACAAAACACCTCTGATTAAATCTAACAATCCTCACCTGGCAGGCAGGGAACAACCATGAACAACCACAGAGCGCAGGACATAGAAATGTATTGGGCACTCAGGTCCACACCCCCCCTTCAATACATTAGATCAAGGTATGGGATCGCGGTCGTATACCAAGGTCATCCAAGGTCCACCACAATCATACCCTAAAAAAATGAATGAATGCCTAGAACGGCTCCTGGGCGCCCGAAGAACGAAGCCCACTGGTGAAAGCACTGTTGGCCGCTCCATCATCCATGTCATAGCGTGGCCCACCCCGCTCGTTGCAAGGCGCGTTGCAAACTGCAGTCCTTGGCATGGCTGACATGGCCCGCGTGGCTTGAAAATAGCACTCCAATGATGCCTCACTTTGAAAATTGCACTGTTCAATGGCCTGGGCGGAAAGCAGAATTTTGGTGACATGGTTTCATTCAAGTCCCAGGTGTCTGCAGACTTCGGTGTTTTTGAGCGTCGCATTCACTTTCGGGTTACTAGTGCCACATTTTGCCCATGCCCACCTTAGACAAGTTTGGTGGCCAATGCATCCAGCACCTGTCGCGACAAACAACATACGCCTCATTAAAAACTACCATCCCCCACCCTGAGAATAGTTCATTTCAAGACAAAAACACATTTTCCATCCCCTATTTGGCAGTGTCTCTGCTGCTTGGGGGGGTGATAGTGTCCAGTTGTTGGAATGTGCAAAAAAAATACTTTACTTCGAGTTATCCCCACCATGACATTTATACATTTTGTTGCTGGCAAATCTTCTGGCATTCTATCTGGCATACCTTCTGGCATTTTATCTGGCATATCTTTTGGCATTTTATCTGGCATATCTTGTGGCATTCTATCTGGCATATTTTCTGCAATCTGTTCTGGCACATCTTCTGGCACTCTATCTGGCATATCTTCTGGCATATTTTCTGACATTCTATCTGGCGTTCTATCTGGCAAATCTTCTGGCATTCTATCTGGCAAACATTCTGGCAGTTTATCTCGTACCTACTGGCATTCTATCTGACATTCTATCTGGCATACCTTCTGGCATATCTTCTGGCATATCTTCTGTCAGTTTATCTGACATATCTTCTGGCATTCTATCTGGCATATCTTCTGACATTCTATCTGGCATACCTTCTGACATTCTACGGTATCTGGAATATCTTCTGGCATTCTATCTGGCCGTTGAGGTCCAGCGGTGCACACTGAGCTGAGAAGGTCCCAGGTTGAGGTCCAGCGGTGCACACTGAGCTGGGCAGGTCCTAGGTTGAGGTCCAGCGGTGCAGACACTGAGCTGGGCAGGTCCCCGGTTGAGGTCCAGCGGTGCACACTGAGCTGGGCAGCTCGCAGGTTGAGGTCCAGCGGTGCACACTGAGCTGGGCAGCGCTCAGGTTGACGTCCAGCAGTTCGCGAGGAGGAGGGCGAGGAGGACAGCTAGTCGAGGAGGAGGAGAATGAGGAGGCGGAGGAGGAGGAGGAAGTGGCGGGCATGCGCTCTGATAAAATCTAACAACCCTCACCTGGCAGGTGGGGAACAACGGAACCAGAATAATGTCTGAAAATAAGTTACCACACCCTCCCCTGGTTTGATCATCATTGTCCTTATCATATACAATTATAGCGATTGTCAATGTTGGCATTATGCTCAGACAGACCCATGTCACCCTGGCCAAAGGCAAAATCAATCACCAGAATGATGTCATACGCTATTCCCAACTTCCTGAACGAACCTTACTAAACAGACCACGTCCAATGTCCGAAATCAATAACATCATGCGTGCAAGAATTTCAGCCATGTCCATAATGCATAACATAATCTCATGCATATCAAAGTACACGGTTGTGGCATTGTGTTTCCAGTTTGTGTTTCTTTGAAAATGGCGTAATTATGCCCCAAGCCTGGTAGAATATCATAATTTCCCCTATTTATTTTGCCATTCGGAGGTCTACTGGTATAGCCGAACAGCCGATTACACCGGCCAGTGCCACCGCGTTTCCACGAGTTCCGGTGGCCGTTGGTCTTCACTCCGGTTTTCTTTCCGCAACCAGCACACTTGACGAGGGACTCCATCTTCCCAGCATCACCCCGCAAGCATGCGCCACCTACCAAATGATCCACGACGCGGACTAACAAAGAATCGCTGCATGCGGTAGGCCCAGGGGCATAAACCTTCAACCGGATTGCAGTCTGCAATCTATTCCTGTAAAAACTGGCATAATTCATTGTGCGGGGTGCAACCTTTAGCTACATTAAATTGGAATAGGAATTGCGCGTTTATGTTGATCAAATGTCCTAATGAATTCATAAGTCGTTAAAAAATACGCAAATGTTTTCATATAAAGATGGAGGCCTAGTACCTAAATTAATTATATTATATTAAAGTGATATTGTTTGGGCCGTCATGTGACCAGGTGGGAACTCACCTCCTCACGTGCACTTTCTCTCTGCACTGCTCAAATATATCGTTTAAATCTACATCCTTCACAGGGAAACGCCTAACACGCGGTCAGGGCACTTAATGCCAACATCCCATTTCAGAAAACAATTTAATCATCGCAAATTTCATTGCAACATGAAAATGATCACCCATGTTGCCAGATGTCATAAAGCCGGTGGATCTTTGGCATTTGTTTGCGTGCGCCAAGGTGCAATAATGCGCCTCACAATGAAGGCAGGCTAAATTGGTCGAAGGACCGGAACTGGTGCAATACCTCAGCCCCGCTCTTGAACACCAATAATTCGTGTGTATATAAGTCACGGGGTATTATCCAATTAACCAGGAATTGGCAACAAAAGGCTGAAATGGCTATGTAGTGTGGAAAACCAAAGAATAAACAACAGCAGTTCTCTGGCAGCATGAATGTGCACAACTCTGCTTTACCATACCATTGTTTATTCGAGATAAACCACCGTCCCTTTACCAAAAAAAACATCCAACAATTGCCTTTTGGAATTGCCAAATTCTCTGCCATTTTTTTTCCCCCAATCGATTTTCTTGAGATTTTGTGTTTTTTTTCCCCTGCATCCTTCCAGGAAAAACCTGAGGCTGTAGCCACTTGCACATCGTTTCAAACCAAAATTTGCCGTCAAATGCTGACAACTGTGCTCTCGACACTTGGGCCAAAAATAACGCAATGTCGCAAAAATACAATTTCAATGTGTTGGCTATTTGCCGACCGAACACAATTATTGCATTACATTATTCACATTAATTGGAACATCCAAAACATTCACCGCTACGATTTGTGCATCACAACTCAATGCAAAGAGCAGTCACATATAATCATGTGAGGTCTCAAATGTCGATTGCCGGCGTTCGCGTCCGCAATAGTAGAAAGTTTCGATCACGCTGATGAAGCAAAATATTGCGCAGCACGCATGCGGTTTTGCGAGGAATTTGTGGCCAGGCCGTGAAACAAATTAAACAACGCACTTGGGCCGACCACATTTCACCAAACTGCATGCTTATTTTGAGCGCCTATGCACGTGTTTTTTCTCCCATCTAAACCCACCAGTCAACAAGAATTTTTCACGCCTTCCCTCGTTTTAAACAAAAACATGCTGTGCACTAGGTGGCTGGGCGCAACAACAAATGAGAACAGGAATTCCGTGTATACAATTCGTGTTAGATTTCTAATGTTCATTTTCACAGCCTCCACTACTACCAACATCACCAGCTAAGCTGAAACGAAGTGAACATGAGCTGGGATGAACTGAACATGAATTGAAATGAGCTGAGATGAGCTGAGGTGAGCTGAGATGAGCCTCGGAGAAAAAAAATACCAAAAAAAAACAAATTGACAACCAAAGACGAATTACAGCAAAGAAGTTTCACAGCCAAAAAAAATCACAACAAAAAAAATCACAGCCAAGAAGTACACTCACAGCCCGAAAGTCTAGAAAAATGTTTCGCATCAAAGAAGTCTCACAGCGAAGAAAACCCGCTGAAAAAAATCACGCAGCGAAGACGGTTGACAGCAAAAAAAAATCACAGCATAGAAATTTCACAGCGAACAAGAATCACAGCAAACAAGAAGCACAGCAAAGAAGTCTCACAAGGAAGAGGGTTCACGGTAAAAAAACTGTCCACAACAAAGAACAACAAAAAAAATCACAACAAAGAAGGCTCACAGCAAAAAAATTCAGAGCTGAGAAATTTCACAGCAAAGAAAAATCACAGCAAAGAAAAAAATCACAACGAAAATTTCACAGCAAACCAGGCTCATAGCACAGAAATCGCACAGCAAAGAAGGTTCCATTGTTTCAAGTGGTTAATCAAAAAAAACGTCTTTGTGCGCACATAGCACCATTTATCAAACGAAACCCAGGAATACAGTGAAGAAACGCAAATGCAAACATGCATCCCTTTTATTCGGAATGGCGCAAACGGGGTCGGATATACACGTTACACAAGTAGCAGCACAAGTTTGGAAACCAGCGGGCACAACATGTGTGCACAAACCCTACCCAACGTATGATACAAATCCCCAACGCACACCGAGCGCAACCAATTCTGAATCTAGGGTAAACACCAAAAGGTCCAAAAGGAATAATTATGTGAGGGGGAATTCCAATAACACAAAACCAAGGCGACTATCAACCAGCCGGGGTTGAACTCCCCCAAACTAGCCATCTAGTTCTGAAGAATGAGTTGCCGGCGTAAAACCCCAATCTGACACTCCATGTCTTGGGTGAACGCTTCGAGGGCCAGTAGCCGCTGAGTCATGTCCAACGTAGGAACCGGTGTCAAATCCGTGGTATAGAAAGGCGACAACAGGTCAGGGCGAGTTTGTCCTCAAAGACTCGGCCACTCCACTCGTTTCGGATGGTTCCACGCCCTTTGGCAACTACATGATCCAAGTTTGTTTGATGGCTAGCCACAACGACGGTGAAAGGCAACCATAAAAGACCGCTTGTTTTGAAGTGGGTGACAGGCACGCTAATTGAAACCGTCAAGCGCCTTGCCAAGGACACCATGTGGCTGAAGGACATGAACAACGCCGAGCCCCCCCCCCACGGCGATCAATGTGCTTGGAAGTGAGGGGGCCGAGCTCTCCTTCTTAAAGAGGCGCTTGGTGAAATTGCAGGGTGGGATCATGGTTGCGCCAACAGTTGAAAAGGTACTTGCGTGCTGTGAGAAGTTCTTTGGGACAACTCGTGTCCAGAAAGTCCCATGTGATGCTGGTATTCAACAAAAGGACATGTCAAAGGAGTTTGGGCAGTCTGACACCAGTTGCTACCGCGGTATCATGTTCACCGTCAAGGAGTATGCAACGAGCATGTCAAAACTCACACCATGCAGTTTGCAAAGGTTGCGTAAACTCATGGTTTACCTACGTTACAATGGTGACATAGGAATGAAAATTTGCAATGCCAGAGTGCAGGAAAGGAAAGAGAAAAGAAGGATGTGAGAGTGAATTGATTTTGGAAACATTCACTGGTGCCGACTGGTCTTCCAATAAGGCCCACAGAAAGTCCACTAGCTGCGCAGTACATGGGCGTTTCGTTTGTGCATCGTTAAGGAAAGAAAGGTGACCAGTTTGTCTTCGGCAGAATCTGAGTTTCACAGTATGGTGTCTGGGCGCTGTGATGAATATTCGTCAAACGTTGTGCAGAGTTCCTTTTGCTCCTTTTCTGTCCGCTACTTCGCCTGGACAGAGAACAGCGCAGCACGACAACTTGTGCCGAAGCAAGGTGTCGGGCGAACCCGCCATTTGTGTGGAATGATCCTATGGGTCCAACATGGATCCAACAAGCGGTGTTTCCTGGAGAAGGTGCAATTGAGCAAGTTCCCACCCTGGGGAAATATAGCGACATTGGCACCAAATGCCTGCCGCGTGGAAAGCTGTTCTTTCTTTTCATGACATTTTCGCGGTGGACCCTCCAACCTTAAAAATGAAAGGACAAGAAGAGCATGCAATGGTGACCTTGGCAGCGGAAGCAGCGAATCCGGAAACGTGTCAGATTTTGAATGTCCATAGCCATGTTGAATTTTTCTGTATTTGGGCGGCGCTTGGTATTCACGGTTTGGGTTGTCTAGGCAACTGGGCCTGCAACGGTTTGCTCGTCACAAACCCAGGCCACGCAGTGACGCTGGAAAGTAATGCCGGCCCACGCGCTTGAGTGTTTAGTTTCCTCAACAATATCAACTGTCTCAACGCCTCGGATCCATCACCTGGAGGCGCTGCACGAACAAGAGCTAACGCTCCGTTCTTGACAAAGCCGGCTAGCAGTCCATACGACTTTGCTGATCTCTGTCTAACATCGCCTGGGGCACTGCTCATATCCAGAAACTTTGACAGCTCATCTGTGGTCCGACATAGCCTTTGTAAATCCCCCAGCCATAAAAACCAAAAACCGCGTCAACTGCCAAAGCCAATCACGGTAATGCCTTTGGTCTTGCTCTCGGCTGGGGCGATCAAAAACCTGGAGTTCCCTGACCATTTTGGACTAGTCAACTAAAGCCTTTTGCAGGGGCAATCTTTGAAGGTGTCCCAGTACTCACACACAGCGTGGCTGAAGTGACAGCAGCCTGTGCCGCGTTTGCGGCCGCTTGTGTCGCTTCAGAATCTGTGAAAAGGCAGCTTGAAAGATACCTGCATCCACTAGCTGTTGAGCCGCCATCTGTTCAAGCGCGCGGCACATCAAAACCCACACAACCAGTAAATCCAGCCAGAAGGAGGGAAAAAAAAATTGCACTGATGGAACAATCCCTGTGTCGCAGCAGCCCAAACGCTCTTTGAAACGCAGATACTACCTGAAGGTCACACAGCTAGAAAACACTTGAAAGTGATCACGAGGCAAATCCAGATTCTGTCGAGATTGCGCTGGCAATATCACACGCCAGACAAAAGCAATGATGTCAATACCAATCAAACCACGCAAAGTTAAGTGTAAGCCCAGTAGAATGCAAATAGACTTGACGCAGTATGCAGCAATGAACGTGTCCTCAATCACAAGCTTTCCCAAGTAGGAGTCCAAGCACTTGCAACGCTAGTTGGAAACGCCTCTTCCCTAATGGTTCCGGGCAGCACCGGTTTAGCAGCAGGAGCACTGGGCCGGCTCTGCTACCATGCAAAGAGGGCGGCTGAAACTCGGACTT